CATTCACAGCCAAGCCTCTGGAGGCTCCAGCTCCTGAGCAGAGCTTTCCTCTGCTGGGAATACAGCTCTGGCAGGGGCTGTGAGAGAGGAGGAGACAGCCCCAATGCTGGCAGGGGCCACCAATACCATCTTAATCCTCTCTGCTCTTCTTCAGGGTGACAGTGGTGGTCCTCTCATGTGCCAAGACAACAACGCTGAGTACTGGTGGGTCATTGGAATAACCAGCTTTGGAAACGGCTGTGCCAGAGAAATGCGGCCTGGAGTCTACACGTCCACTCAGCACTTCTATGACTGGATCGAGTACAACATGCATGCACACGCAATTGAAAGTGCTTCTTGAGCAGCAGGACAGGCAGGATCCAGAGCAGGCTGCAGAGTACCTCAACCATTTCCTGCTGGGGCAATGCCTGCTGATCCAAAGGCGGCCTCAGGGTCAAAAACCTGCTCTGTCCTGCCCACACTCCTCTCCTCTGTGCACACAAACACTGGAGTTGATTTAGTTGTTGAAATAAAATTCCCATTGTTCATAGCTAACCATCTTTTCAGTGCAATTCCTGCTCCTGGGCAAGTCAGAATGGGCCTGAGGGCACAAAGGCACAGAAGTGGATCCAAAGAGCCCCAAAGTGCCTGGTCAGAGAGAAGAGTGCTCTGAACCACCAAGGGTTGGAGGAATCTGGTCCATCAAACCTAGGAAGGGGATAGGAAAAAAACAGACACTTTTGGGGTGGTGCTCAAAGGCCCATGGGCTGCTCATTAGGGCCTGGTGTGAGCCTGGGCTAAGGGAACAGATCTGGAAAAGTCCCAAGCATGACAAGGGAAACTCCTGGCTCCTGACTGGAGTGCCAGTGCCCCAAGGCAGAGCCAGATTTCACTGGTACTAAGCGGGGATTGATGTACCAGGAGGTCACACTTCCCAGATACTCAAAGGAAGAGCTGGGGTCATTCTGGGGAGAGGAACCTGGCAGGAACAGTAGGAGAGCACACCATGGGAGGCCAAGCTGAGTGGGCCAAGAGCAGCTGCAACACCAAGGCTGTTCACAGGCAGGGCCAGCCTGGGAGGCAGGGGGAAAAGATTCCTGGGCTTGGCTCTGTATTTGGGAGGAGATAAGAGCAGAGAGAAGGAGGAGTTGAGGAAGATGAGAGGGCTGTATAAGCCTGGCAAATGGAGAAATTGAGCAATCAAAGAGCCAGATGCACAATTTGAAGCTTCCTGTGCTTGTTTCCTGTGTGCTGCGTATAATCACCAGAAGATATGTAAGAAACTTCTTTTCTCATTTCACTTACAAATCACCTACAAACTTCACAAATTCTCCTCATCATTTTATATCCTTTCAATCAAACCTCAATATTTAGGTTGTTGGGAGAGGGAAAGAAAAAATGGTAGAGGAATGCCATGGGGAAGTCTTGTTGAAGGCAGCTGCTGTCTATAGCACTACATGTTGTTGTGGGTTTTTGGTTTTTTCAGGGCTGTGTTCTCTCTGGGATACCTCCTCAAAAGGGAGTTTCCCTTATCTCAGTTCTGTTTCAGAAAAGATTCTCCAAAGGCTTGTTTGCTTCTTGTTTCTTGTGTTTATTAATATATAGTATCAAAATACTTGGCAGGTATTCCCCAGACTTTCTGCAGAAGTTCAACCCAACACAGCTTCGATATATATTGATCAAATATCAATATATATCAAATATCAATAGGTATCAAATATCAATATATATATATATATATATCAAATATATATATTTGATATATATTTGATATATATTTGGGCTTGAATGGCACAAAATGCCCTCAGACCACACAGTTCTTTTATCTTTAGACTTATTTTTACCCAATTAACAATAGAAAAGTAAATTATTTTCCTTAGCGATCCAATGACCTATCACCTGTGTGCTGCATTGAGGCATTTTCTGTCCAATCACCTGTTACTACCCCAAAACCTCTAGAAGAAGATGATGAAGAAGAAAGAAGGAAAAGAGACAACACCCTAAATCCTCCATCTTGTCTTCTGTTTTCTAAACTAGCTTAGACTCTAACTTTTTCACCTAGTGACTTAAGAAAATTCTCTAATCTACACACTTACACTTTTAGTTTTTCTAGTTAACAGTTGTTTTCAGGGTGTTGTATGAAATTCAGTGTTTTTATTGGAGGTCAGAGTTAGGTATCAGAGACAAGGGCACACACTCTATGTCTCAGAATCTAACACTCTTTTCAGGTGAAGGTAAGTGTACCTTGACTTTCTCCACCTAACAGAATGCTTCAAAATGCCTTTTGTTAGGTGTCACTCCATCTGCTTCTGGATACCCTTCTTGGCTTCCAGGCCAATGGAGTCCTCCCTCATGGCAGGTGGCACTCTTTGTGTTAATCAAAATGGGCTGTATTTGAGAACAATCACCCCACATCTGTACTGGTTCCTGCCACCCTGCCATAAGCTTCTTCAAATATTTCCTGAAGTAAATTTCAGAGGCTGCTTGCTCGCTGGAGACATTGAGTGCAAGAGTGACACTCAAGGCTGGGGATGGCCATTACCCTGCTCAGTGAGCAGATCAGCTTAGAGCTGCCCAATCATCCTTGAACAGCCTTATTGCTCTCCCTTGGCAAAATTCTTCTGCCCAAGCAATTTCTCCCAGTTCTGCAGAACATCGGACACAGACGCCTCCTCCCATAAAGCCGGGATATTTCCCATCACATCAAAAAGTACAAGGGACATGAAACTCCTTTTTGCATGCCAAGAAGGGACTTCAGCCCCCTGTGCCTGGGGACCCTAGCACCCACTGTGTGGCATGAGGGACACAAAGCTCTCCCTGTGCCTGTCTCCAAAACCCTTCAAGCAGAGACTCAAGCATCCTAGCAGAGACTTCAGCTCTCCCCCCCCCACCCCTTGCACCTTAGGGGGACCTCCACAACTCCTCTGTGGCTGCCTTACACGGACCATGCTGCACACGCCTTCTCCACCCTCTCTCTACCAGTGATTTCACCAAATCTGCACCAAAGTCTGCAACAACAGAGAGGCTCAAATCCACCCTTATCATTTACATAGAATCTGTGCATGGAATTGTAACACTCCCCCTTTGGCTCCGTTCTGCTCTAAAAATCCCAGGGAAACTCACCTGCTGCACATTTGGAGAAGGGGGGCTCCAAGTACTTCTCTACAGTCCTGTCTGGGATGCCATAGTGCTGAGGAAAGTCCCTTGTGTGACTATTCCAAGGCAAGGGTTGCTCCAGCGAGCTAATGGATGCCCCATTTAATTCCCTACCTATGCCACTGTCACCCAGACAGAGCAGATTTCCATACCCGTTCTGCCCCATGAATCCCCCAGCAGACTTGCCGCCAATGTCATGTTCAATAAAGAGCCACCAGCTCCTGCTGCCACACTCAGTGTCCATTTCAAACCCCTGGCCGGTGGAACAGCTCCCTGTGCCCTCTGTTATGCAAAGTGTGGGGATTTCACTGCCTCTGGTCCTGGGCTCCTGTCAGCCAGAGCTCAATCTGCAGCTGGCATTGCAGCTGCACAGCCAGCTCCCCGCCCCAAATGGATTCCTCAGCAGCTGCCTTCCCTGGGAACTACACAATCTCATCCTGCAGAAAGAGGGGCTTAAAGACAGCAGCAGTGAGCCTTCTTACAAGGGCAGGTCCTGACAGGACAAGGGGCAATGACTTTACAGTGACAGAGGGTAGTTTTACATGGGATATTGGGAAGGAATTATTGACTGTGATGCGGCTGAGATACTGGCATCCCAGAGCAGTTGTGGATGCCTGTTTCTCATGTAGGCAGCATAGGCACAGAAGACACAGACACCAACTTCAGGAATAAATATAATTTACTATAATTCAAAACTGCAAAAAATTGCAAATGGATAAGTAAGCAGGACATCAAATCATTAGCATATATTTACAAAAGGATAAGACAGGCAACCCATCTAACAATTATTATAAAAGGCTGCCTACAGTGATGAAGACAAATGACAAGTTACCCTAATCTTCAACTATCATCCAGATCTGTCATATCAGGTGGGGGAAGCCACTGTCACTATGTTCAAGGACAGCTTCTGAGCCAAGCTCTTTTCCAGTGCAAGCTATCCCTCTGAGAGGAAAAATTGTGGCTCTGCTGGTAGATAAAACTAACACTGGGAGATAAAAGAAACAATGGGAAGGATTCCACTGATTGAAGAATGGAAAAAAAGATATCTGCCTTTACAAGCAAACTGTATATTTGCTGATAAATGAAATTGGATATCGAAAAATAAAAGAAACAATGAAGAAAAAACATAAATTCCATAAGAATTCAAAATTAAGAGAGAGGGTTATACATTTGAGGGAATCTTAGATACTTGAGAAGTCTGTACCTCTCAAGTACCACAGCCAATATGGAAAGAGAGAGGGGCATGTAGCCAGGAAATTAGGACAAAAAGGAGGCTGCATCCTCCAAAAATTTGAGAGACCCCAGGGGAATGCCCCAGGGCCTCTCCCTTAATTCGAATAAAGTAAAAGAACTCCTCTTCCTCCTTTCTGGACATCAACCTCTGGTGTTTGTGGATTAATTTTTCTGACACCTCAATGCTCAAGGCAAGGGTATCAGAGCTAGATGCTCCCTTCCAACCAAACCATTCTATGGCTCCACAATTAGATGTTGCCCCTCCCCCAGTGGGCCCCCTAAGGCCCAGACACCCCAGCACTCAGAACACGGAACCCACCGCTCTGTGACATCAGCCCCTGCACCGAGGGCACCAAGGGCAGCGTGGCTGCTGTGGGCATTGCGGCTGTGGCTGTGCTGCTGCACGGAGCCCTCAGTGCTTGCTACTCACACGAGCCTCTGGCAGCCATGAACTGGCTCAGTCTCCTCGTCCTGCTGACCGTGGCCGGGCTGGTGCACGGGACATGGGACAACTGCGGGTAAGTGGCCCCAGGCCCTGGCAGAGAGCCACGGCAACACTTGGGGCCTTCCCTGCAGGGCCCCGCCTGGCCCCCATGGCCGGGCCACAGCTTCCCACCCACCATGGGACAGCCTCAGCTCCTTGCCAGCAGCCAGCTGCTGGCACGGACAGACACACACCCCATGGGCTTCCCTGGCCTGCTATGCCTGCAAGCCCTTGTGGGGAGGGCAGAGGGCTGAGCTTCAGCCTGAGCCACAGCAGGCCATGGAGCAGCATGGAAATTACTTTCTGCTTGCAGAGGAACCTGCGGACTCCGAGCTGTGGTGTCTGACTATGGCCTCATGAGTTACTACTATGGCAACCTGGCTTATGACAACAGCATGACACGCATTGTGGGTGGCACAGGTGCCCTGCCAGGGGCCTGGCCATGGATTGTCAGCATCCAGCATCCCTGGGCACCAGACCGGGGGCATTGGTGTGGAGGGTCTCTCATCGGCACTCAGTGGGTCCTCACAGCAGCCCACTGCTTCGACAAGTTTGAGTAAGTAGGAGCAGGGAATGGAGACATCCCCACAACACCAGCAGGTGCCCTGCCAGCAGCACCACCTGCTACTCCCCTCCCCTTTCCTCTCAGGCAGCCCAGCTGCCACACTGCTCAGGAGAAGCCTGGCCTTGTGCCAAGGCTTCCCAGCAGCTTTCAGCTTGACATTCTCCCAGCCTCAGGTGTACAAGGGCACTCACACCTGCCAGAGCACTGCTCCCTCCTGTGCTTTGCCATGCAGAGGTCTGGCAACTGCTGGGCTGCTGTGGCACATGGCTCTGCTCCCTCTCAGACCTCTCTCCATCTCCTTTCCAGTAACATCAGCATGGTGTATCTGGTGATTGGAGCCACCCAATTGACTCAGCCAGGCCCTGGGGCACAAATACGCAGTGTCAAGCAGTTGGTGATACACCAGTACTACAATCCTGCTGACATGAGCTACGACATTGCCTTGCTGGAATTGGACCATCCTGTCCAGTGCAGCCCCTACATCCAGCTGGCCTGTGTGCCTGATGCCACACTGAGAGTGTCAGAGCTGCAGAACTGCTGGGTTGCTGGCTGGGGTTCCACTGCTGCAAGAGGTGAGTTCCCAAGAGAGACTTCTGGGCTAGCTCAGCACAGTGGGGAGAGGGTTTGGGCTTCCCCACAGCAGAGACCAAAGCCAAGCTGCAGTGTGTCCCCCTCTGCAGAGATGGGCCTGGCCTACTCACCCCAAAGGCAGGCAGCAGCTCCAGTTCCTCTGCAGAGGGAAAGCCAAGCCCTAGGGGAGAGGATGCCCTTCCCTAGTCAGGAGAGGTTGTTGAGTCGTTTGTGGGGGGTCTTTGAATTTTTAAGGAGATAAGAGTAATTGTTGGTTGTTATAAAGATGTTTATTGTATGAATGTATTTGTTTTAAAGGTAAAGAGATTAGAGAATTAAAGTCTTTGTTAAAAGTTTTTGGTATAAAGTCCTGAATTCTGAATAGTATCTTCCCAGCATAGAGTTCCGTTAGTAGAAGTAGTTGCAGTAGGTCTTCTTCAGGTGGTGATGATAGTGGAGTTATTATTTGTGCATGTTTTATCCTAATAAAGGGGATTAAATTCATAAATCATTCAATCAGCTAAAAACACGATTCTAAAACATTCTTTCTATACTGATCTCATTCTTAATACACAAAGTTATTGTCAGTTTTACTTAAATGTTATGTATAGAGCATTATTTTTTTGTGTGAATAATCTTATCTGTTTTATTTAAAAATGCAAGCTATGTTTTTATTGTGTTTGGGACTAAGTTGAATCTGTGAAGGGTAACATTACTGAACTATAAACTATGGTTTAGGGCTTTTCATTAGCTAACACAGACTTTTGAAGTATTTAAGCTATATTTCTATTAATTTAAAAGTTTAACTTTCACTCTTACTTTATATCTGTGAGTTAATATATTTAAGTTTCTCTAAAGGCTTTAATTCAATCCTTGTATTTCTTTTTCTCCCTGAGGGCCTCAAAGGAGTTTTTACTTCATGCATTCCAACAAGAGGAGAATGTGCAATGTGGTGCTCAGGGTTTATTCCTTTCTCTTCTCACAGCTCAAGAATCAAGTGATCACCTGCAGGAGGCCAAGGTCCAGCTCATCGATGTCCAGCTCTGCAACAGCAGTGGCTGGTATGCTGGGGAAATCCATACCCACAACTTGTGTGCGGGTTACCCACAGGGCCTCATTGACACCTGCCAGGTAGGAGCATGCCACGAGCCACTCAGCCCCTAGCAACACCAGCAGCACCACCCCAACACAGCCCAGGACCTGCTTTGCCCGGCCACTCAGTCACTCTCCCAGCCCCAGCTACCCCCGGCTGCTGTGGGGGCTTCCCACACACTCCCCATCCACACCTGCCTGCACAGGGCTCCCCTTGTGCCTGAAAGCCCAGAAAGCCCAGCTAGTGCTCCTGGCAGCCCAGAGGTGCAGGTGCCAAATGTTCATCCTCTGCACCTGCAGGAGCCCTGGTCAGAGAGGACAGAGAGAGCCCTACCCTACAGGACCCCAAGCCATTCACAGCCAAGCCTCTGGAGGCTCCAGCCCCTGAGCAGAGCTTTTCCTCTGCTGGGAATACAGCTCTGGCAGGGGCTGTGAGAGAGGAGGAGACCCAATGCTGGTAGGGGCCACCAACACCACCTTAATCCTCTCTGCTCTGCTGCAGGGTGACAGTGGTGGTCCTCTCATGTGCCAGGACAACCACGCTGACTCCTGGTGGGTTGTTGGAGTGACCAGCTGGGGAAAAGGCTGTGCCAGAGCAAAGCAGCCTGGAGTCTACATCTCCACTCAGGACTTCAACAACTGGATTCAGGTCCATACCGGCTCAAACACAGTTAGAAGTGATTCTCCAACATCACAAGCCTGGAGTCATTTTCTGACTGCCCACCAAACAACCCAGAAGCCATGGTCAACACAACCCCCCACTTATAAGCCATGGACAACCCCCTCTCCCACTTATAAGCCATTGCCAACATCACTTCCCACTCATAAGCCATGGCCAACACGACCCCCCACTTATAAGCCATGGACACCACCACCTCCCACTTATAAGCCATGGACAACACGACCCCCCACTCATAAGCCATTACCAACATCACTTCCCACTCATAAGCCGTGGCCAACACAACCCCCCACTTATAAGCCATGGACAACACGACCCCCCACTCATAAGCCATTGCCAACATCACTTCCCACTTATAAGCCATGGCCAACACCACTTCCCACTCATAAGCCATTGCCAACATCATTTCCCACTCATAAGCCATTGCCAACATCATTTCCCACTCATAAGCCATTGCCAACATCATTTCCCACTCATAAGCCATGGCCAACACGACCCCCCACTTATAAGCCGTGGCCAACACCACTTCCCACTCATAAGCCATGGCCAACCCAACCCCCCACTCATAATCCATGGCCGACACCACTTCCCACTTATAAACCATGGCCAACACAACCCCCCACTCAGCAGCCATTGCCAACAGCGCTCCCCACTCAAAAGCCAACACCATCGAATGAGGCTAGCTCCTGCCCATTTCCACTCAACAAGCTGGTAGACTTCTTTACTAAAGTGAAGCAGCTCCTTCATGAGGTCCTTGGACAAAACACAGCTTGAGGCAGGATCCAGAGCAGGCTGCAGAGTACCTCAACCATTTCCTGCTGGGGCAATGCCTGCTGATCCAAAGGCAGCCTCAGTGTCAAAAACCTGCTCTGTCCTGACTACAACTCCTCTCCAGTGCGCAGGCAAATACTGGAGCTGACTAAGTTGTTGAAATAAAATTACCTATGCTCAAAGTGAATCAGTGCAGTTCCAACTCCTGGGCAAGACCCATTGGGACAAAGGGACAGAGTGCTCCAAAAGTGCCTGGTCAGAGAGAAGAGTGCTCTGAGCCATCATGGGCTGGAGGAACGTGGTACATCAAGCCTAGGAAGAGGGTAGGAAAATATTTTTGTTAAGGCTCCAGTATTTGTTGAAAACTCCTAGGACACATTACTGTCTCACTGTACTCAAGATAAATTCCTCTCATAGTAACCATTTGTGAGAAGAGTGTTGCTTTTTTACAGCACCCACTGCTCCCTTACATCATTACCCCTTCTCCTCAGTGGGAAAATAGGCATTGTGCTTTGCAGTGCAGACACCAGTATTATTACTTTTATTTTTTCATTTATCAGGTCCATTTTTTGCATCTCACCAGTGCCTGAAATGTGCTCTGATCTCTAAAAATCCTAATAGAAAAGGAAAAGTTAGGGGAGGGAGTTGAAAATCCCTCACACAAAGCACACCTTAAGCTGTGATATTCATAAGCACAAGCAGGCCTAAATTTCCATACTTCGTGGCCGTTTGGGACTGAGGGAAGCCGAAGGCTCTCATAGCTGAGCTGGTTGCAGCCAGCCCAAGCGACGCCCCCTGGCTCTTTATATCTCACCCGGACAGCCCTTCTCACCCGGTACCGGCGGGGCCGCCTCGGCCTCGCTCGGATCAGACCCCAGCTCCGGTCTCCTCCCTCCCTCGGGAAACGACCTCGGCTGCAGTGGCTGCTCCTCTGAGCCTCGGACACCTCCTGACCGCCGGCTCCGCTCCGCAGTGGCTCTGGGCCGAGACCTCCCCGCCGCGGTACCAGGGGCGCCGGTCCCGCACCTCTGGTGATCCCTTGCTCTGCCGGCTCGGTGCTTCTCTCCACCCCGCCCGGCCAGGGATGGGACATCCACAGCTTCTCTGGGCAACCTGTTTCAGAGCCTTATCATTCTCACACTGAAGAATCTCTCCCTTAAATCTACTCTAAATCTACAGTTTCCATTTAAAACCATTCCCTTGGCCCCATACCTACAGAACCTAAGTCTAAACCAAGTAAACCAATACTGTTATACCCTTAATCAATAGCCTGCTGAAGCACTCTTGCACTTAGTGAAAAGTGAAAGTCACCCTTTGCATTATGCCTAGCACCAAAACTCAAAGCCAATGGAGGGAAAGGAAAAAAAAATATTATGACATGTATTATTCATGCAATGGCACAAATTCCACCTGTTCTGCATCTCAAGTGCTGCAATCCAAAACACTTTCCTGCCCCATGCATTTAAAGCCCATGCCCACTCCCCACACTGCTGCATCCCCCAGTAAACACTTCCAGCCTCCCATCCAAATCACACAAATGTAATTCAATCTATGCTAATTCTCCAATTAATTCAGTATTGTGTTCTCCAACATTCTAACCTCAGCTGACATGAAAAGCAGGCACCCATTTGTACACTGCGATGGCAGAACAGCTGAATGCTCAATGACCTAAGTAGTTCAATTCACTGATGATTATTAAATCCTAGAAAGGTTTCCAAAGTGAAAAGTTTCCAAAGTGAACTGTAGGCATTTCCCACCACACAAACTAAATGTGAGACTATGAGCTTTATTTTAGAATTAGTGGAAAAACTTGCTAATGTTTGATTTTCTTCAAAGGAAATAGATGGTTTCAACAGACTCTAAAAATGCTTTGTTAAAAATCTTATTAGTTATGCCTTACTCAGCTAACACTTAGCCCAAATTGAGTCTGTTCCTTGGAGTTCTTCCAGCTACCCACACAGTTCCTCTGCCAAACTGCCTTGTCTTGAGCCTGATGTTTTCAAATCTGGCTCTTCTAATACTCCAGTCATCTGAGTGCAATGAAACCTTCAAAGACTGGATTGTCACCTGTGCTCAGAAATGCATTGCAGCTTTTCATCCTCAACCCTGCAAAGCAACACCCTTGCTCAATGAGAATATTTACTAGGAATTGATATATCTATAAAATGTGGAACTAAGCTGATTTTCATACTTGGAACCAAAACTTCACCAAAGTTTCAAAAATGCCCACATAAGCTCCACTTTATGGCAACCTTGAGAGCATTTGATGAGTACACTGTTGACATTTTAGAAAGCAGGGCAGAGTATTGTGATTGCCAATTACAAGGTTACATTGCACCCCTAGTTCTGCCAGGGTATAACCTATAATTAAAAAAAAAAGAATAAAAGCGGTAACCCAACAAAATCTCTCAACCACAGGGAAACCCTGTGGTGGTGTATTTTGAGGTGGTCTGTGGGTCTGGGTCATTGGAGTCAACTGCCTGGCTAAGAGTACATTTGAGGCACGTAACAGCACTCCCCCGAAATCCATGGTCTGTCAGGTCTGATTGTTTACACCAGCCACATAATTGCATAAATTGCTTTCACTTCCTGTTCACTATATACAACTCAAAGCAATCAAATAACAGAGTTTGGGCAACATTAGCCCTTATAACCTATTCCTTAGCACAAACATGTCATTACATTAAATATAATGATGATTATGATTATGATTATGATTATGATTATGATTATGCTTATGATTATGATTATGACTATGATTATGATTATGATTATTACTTAGGGGTGCATATCATATAAGAGCATTTAATTCTATAATGCTTTGGGTTGGAAGGAACTTTCAAGATCATGTTGTTCCAACCCCTGACATGGGCAGGGACACCTTTACTAGACTAGGTTGTTCAGAGCCACATCCAGCCTAGTCTTGAACACTTCCAGGGATGGGGCATCTACAACTTCTCTTGAAAAGCTGTCCCAGTGCCTCACCACCCTCACAGTAAAGAATTTTTTCCTAATATCTCATCTAAAACTACTCTCTTAGTTTGTAGCCATTCCCCCTTGTCCTGTCACTATATTCTCTTGTAAATGATCTCTCTCCATCCTTCTTGTAGACTCCCTTCAGATACTGGAAGGCCACTGAAGTTTGCAAAATAGGTTGTATAGAAGCCAATTTTATAAGTCTTCAGATAAGCAGGCAATGCATTGCAAATTTTACTGGTTTTCATTTTACCTGTTCAATACAGGACATTAGGCTTTAATTTCCCTGAATTTGAGTCCCAAACACAAAACCAACTTGTGTAAATGAAGACAGGAATCAGGTAAGAACCTGATCCAGTTCCTCCTAGTAAAAAGTTTCCACTGAACTTGCACCTTTATTAAGAGAACAACAATATGCAGCAAAACAATGAAGTCTCCTCACACAACAGAAGAACCTCTAGAAAACTAATACATGTTCTGCCTGCAAGCCATGTTCTACTTGAAAGGACCACTGCAAGATGCCCCTGGCCAGAGATGGAAGGAAGAGGTCACCTGTTATCCTACCTGACTATAAGACACTGCTGCCTGAACTCACACTGTTTTTACTCTCTGTGGCATGGAATGTCCCCTACAAGATTTCTATGAGAAGCTAAATTCAGCATAATATCTGCAAAAATGGTTCCTATGAAGTACAGTTAAAACAATCATGAGAATCCCTTTGTTTCCATGGCACCTTGGAAAAACCTACAGACTAGGAGAGGAAAAAAATCCCAGCTCTCAAAAAAGCATCCTCTCTACAAAGATGAGTGGACAACTCTGTTACCGCTGAAGATGAATAGATCACGCGGACACAGGTCGAGGTGCAGTGGAAAGAAGAAGAAGGTTTATTTTTCCCCCCAGGATTTATAGGCTTCTGACCATGGCCAGGGATTGGATGGTCAGGATAACACTTTCTCACTGCACTGGCCATGAGAGATGCCCATTACAAGACGTGTAACAGAAAGAATGTACACATATCTATGTTTACAGTTACTGTCCTGGGAAAGTCCTTAGAAAACTATGTTAGCAAGCTCAGAAGCTGAGTTTTCAGGGCAACACAACTCCAACAACATCACTCACTGGAATTGCACCCTTACCAGCGTATTGAAGTCAGAATTTGATGGAATACTTTTGTAGTTCTTTTCAAAACAAGTATTTTTCCACAGACACTTTTTTTCTAATGCAGTAGCAGTTTAAATAAGTGATCCAAACATTTATCCTCTGATTAATACCTACAAAGAGTTGATTCCATACATTTCAGTGACTCCATATTCACAAACATGCCAAACTCCTTTAGCTCAGACGTGATTTTAACTCAAACTAGTATTAACTTTGCATCAAGGGAAGTTACAACTGTGGTCAGAGCTTCAAACATCTCTGCTCTGAAGCATTTAATATTCAATGTATAAGAGTGGAATTCTTCATGCTACCCCCAAGGGTAGAACTGTTCCACTCTTACTTAAGACCATGATGACCTCTCTTGTTGAAGTTCCTTTACTATTTCAGGAAACTCAGGGCTCTGTAATGATATCAAATCACCACACAGCCTCAGATTGACGTCAAGGTACAAGGTACTGTCTTTCTTTTCAGCCCCCATCTCATTTGCTTTTTCTATCTGTATGCCCTCCAAAATACACATTAATTTTCATCAACAGCTTATATTTTGTGAATATAAAAGAAAGAGTATTTCTATGTTAGCCCCCAAATGAGACAAACACCCTCCAGTGAGAGAGCACAAGGATGTATGTAGAGAACAGAAGCATTTTTGGATTATACATGGAAACTTCAATATCAGATTGGATCTCAGTGTAAGGATGGATCTCTTCTACCAAAGCTTCATGGAGCAGCAGCATGGACAAGCATGATTCATGAGTCACCATACACCTTCTGTGTAGCCACACACAGGGGAATGAAATTGCCACTGGCTGCCTGACTAGTGCACAAACACCTCACATCTCAAATCTGAAAGCAGAGATGATTGAAAATAA